CGAGTCGTGTTGAGCAAAGTAAACCGAATCATTTTCATTATTAGCGTTGTTGATGCTGTCGATTTCATCTAATAAGGCTTCGGGTATAAGAGGGGATGATGCTCCGTCCATACCTGCTGATTCAGGTCTTTTGTAGATTTTCTCTTGACCGATCCGTACCGTCTCTCGTAGGAAAAAACAGAGAATACCTATTATTAGAATAAGTTATTTTTAATGTATAGCGTTTATCATAAAACATGTATAAAAGAAATAATATACTCACTCTATGCACGTCCCGTGTAGTTTTCTTTTTCCAGTGGAGTAAGGCCATAGATGATACTTGGGGGTACTTGTGCTTCTTCACCAAAGGAGGAAAACCTTCTCGGCATAATAAAAATATCTGCGAATGGTTTTTTCTTAGGATTCTTTAAGGAGAAATATAGAGCCTGTCAAGTTTTTTAGGATTATCTTCTTTTCTTAATTAAGTCTATTTGATGTACATTGCCGCGTTTTTCTTTTAACTCATATTTGTAGTTATGACGATGCGCTCGACCCGGGCTTATCGGAAAACCCAAAACTTCAAACAAAACTTACTGTAAGACAAAATGTCCAATTTGATGTGTGGCCCGAATTAGTACAGATGACCCGGATGACCTACCGGGATGTACATGAGAAAAACCCAAACTTGAAACAAGTTTGAGAAAAAAAAAAACCCTACCACGCACACACACTGGCAAACTGCTGCTGCAGGGGGGTGTCAGCTTTCACACACACAGACGCAGGGCCAATCTGCTGCTGCTGCTGCTGCTAAGTGTTCATTGGACGATAGCGTCAGACCCACCTCCTGCTCCTCTCATTCTTAGCTCCAACTTTCTCATTCTCCCAGAGTTTCTTTCAGTCTTGCACAGCACCGGGATAAGCTCCAGCATCGCTCTCTCTGAGTCCTTTGCGCTATGCCCAAGTACAACATTTACACGCTCCGCCGGACTGACCGGGACCTTCCCAAGGTACCGCTCCACAGGCAGACCCACCCTACGCTCACACTCCATCAGGTAACCGACCCACTCAGCCCCGCGCTCAGCTCCGTGCTCGGCACCGTCAGCCAGCACCCTCATAGCACGGGGCTATTCCGACAAACCCCACTCATAAGCACACAATTCACTCTCCTCAAAATAAAATAAAATAATAAAAAATAATTAAAATAAATAATAAAATAAATAATTAAATAATAATAATTAATAAATAATGTAAAAATATTAAAACTAATAAAAATAAATAATAATAATAAAAAACACCCCCTCTCCCAACATCACTAGTCATGACGTTACATGGTACCATCCTAACCCCGCCCACCCAGTGAACTTTTTGACCTTTAGGTCATAAATCTTTTTGAAAGAAGCAGCATTATCTATCTCTCTACTGTGTTTACATCTTTTCCATTAAAAAAATGACCAAAATATGTTATTTATCGAAGGGTGCCCAAACTTTTGCATACCACTGTAACATGCAACCGATCAAACGCTGATGATTAAAAAGTGCAATCACATTTTACTGGAATAATACATAACAATAAATGAACTGAATAAATGAACAATAAATTGTCAGTCTTGACCAAGATGCAAAAGCTGCAAAACGGTTTCTGTCAGGTCAAAGGCAAAAGTTCACATCACATGCAACAGATACTTGTATGTGTAATGATGTCCTAGCCTCTGTGATATGGCTCCGCATAGTGCTGGAAACAATAATTTGACTGGAGAAGGGGTCAATAATGGCGACAAGATATAATAATAACCATAATGCCCCACAACCCTGAGCAAGACAAGCACTTATCATTATGTATATTCAATTCACACAATATAAATACAATAAACCAGCAGTCACTGGCAATAAATAGGTTCTACTGACTACTGTAACAACAACTGCCTTACATGCATGGGACCCAAGCAGTGGTCTCAGGGGAGCTGCTGGACAGAGTTGATAAAACTGCTGACTCAAACTTTTTCCAAGTCATCACACCACGGATTACTTCCTGAATTCAATCCAGAGAGATATTAATTAAGCAAAGGAAAAATCTTGTCAGTAAATTGCCCACCTGTTTACCTTCCACCATTGCTAGTTCGTTTAGGATTAGTGTGATTGCAAATTTGTAAATTGATTTGTACCTGCTCTTTGAGATTTACCATTTTGTCCAAGAATTTCTTCTGACTTCTAAGTGAATAAGTGTTGCCTGTTCCCTTGGCAGAGATGCCCCTCAGAAGTGGGCACAGGTAGAAATCAAGTTCGCTTTCCAGATATGGGAGTGGTGGCTTGAATTCATGTAGTCCTGGGGCAGGGTTCTAAGGGATAAGGCAGCATAAAAACTGTTATCCCCAATGCAAATTATTGTTCATACATGACATAGTAGATATTCCATCAAATGGCTGGTCTTCTGTTATTTTAAGCCAGTCAAACAACAGTAAAAATCAATATACAATGGTTTTTGTGTGAATGAATTATAGCACTGGATAAGACCAAACAAGACATTTGACTAGATTAATAATATCCAAGAGCAATGTATTAAAAAAATAATCACTTTCAATAAACTGTAGGGGAGGTCTTTTTAAATCAAGACTTACAAAGACTCTAAGTGGGTGTGCATCTGGAGAGCAGAATATGGCTGTAGGGGCTGTAAATGTCAGGTAAGAACTTCCCTCCAATAATGAAGAAGTCCCATTCTTTTCTTGGTCTTCAAGGTCATACTCAGAAGGCCTGATTACTGGGGGCAAGAGCTCATCCTGCAATGTAAATATGCAAAGGAGCATCAACAATTTGACCCTAGATGCCTAACTGTAATCTGTATTTACTTTTGACACCAGGTCTTTTGCTTTGTGGCCACTGGCTTGTAAAGTTACTGGGTGGGCAACTGGCTAACCAGTTATTTTAGTTTTGTAATTAGAGATCTCATATCTCAATTAGTAATTAGAGATCTCAAATAAGGACCAGACTTGACTTTTGCTGAGGGAAAACACTCAAAACTGTTAAAAAAAAAAATGGCAATTTTTAAAGATAACAATAACTACAAACCCATGAATACAGAACTCACAGAACTGGTTTTATTCTTATATCATGCCAAGCACTGGGGTCTTATTAATCCCAACAGTATTTGTAAATTTTCATAAAAATTCTGTATGCTTGGATTCCAGTTTAAAGTGGACAAGCTTATAGCAAACATTTAATTGGCAACCTACTCAATCCTGTTGTTTCTGGAACAGAAATTTTAATCATATTTACTCATACTTTCCATTCATTTTATAAAACTTTTAGTTTAAAACTGAATGTGATGGGATTGTTACAGAGTGGTTAATGCTGTTCTACATTATAAATTTTTCCACACATAAAAAGAGCCACGTTAAGTGGCATTTTCTTGGACTGCACCTGCTAACTGGCAGACCAGTTAACATAAAGCATAGTCATAGTGCATGAAATGAGAGCACTGAAACTTGTAAACTGCACTGTGCTATACCTGAGCTCCAGTTCTTAGTGGTCTTGCCAGGCTTTGGGGAACAAAGCTTGTGAAGGCTTCAAAGGCAGAGACTGGTTTATACCCCTTCAGCTTGTATAGAAGAGGTACCTTCAAAAGCATGAATGATAAAAGATAATTCATAAAAGTTAAGCAATAATAATAACATTATTATCATTATCATTTTTATTTTAAATACAGAAATGCTAACCACATGTCATAACTATTGTAGGTCTGAACCTGATTTCCAAGTCATCTACTAATCATGTAGATGAAGTCAATCATGGTATCTTAAGCCCAGATGTACTGGGTAGGTGCAGGCTGCCAGTTGTCTGGATTAAGACAATTGCTTTCCCGTAGAGTCTCATGTGACTCATTATGTGACATACAGGTGTCAGCTGTTTGCAAAAATGCCCATCCCAATGGAATAAATAAACTGAATCAACTAAAATATCAATTTTTTCCTTCCAAATAAATTTTAATTTTTAAATACAATAACTTTACTGCAGCATATGGGTCACAAACACATCCTTGTTTTTTGGTGGTGTGGCAGAGATTCTGTATTTGCATACCTTCAGCCGGAAGAAGGGAATATGAATTTCAGGCTGAGCGTTGTTAAGCGTCACAGACACAACACCCAAAGCAGCTGTATCCTAGCAGGGAAAAGCAGCAGGCTCCTTCATATATACATTTTGAATTATTCATTGTTCACAACAGTTTTTCATATCCAACTAAAAATTCATAAAGATTAAAACCCTCATTCCAGTTAAATGAGTTACATGTTCATTCACCTGGCTGGGGAGAATTTCCAAAGGAAATGTAAATGGGAGGAAGTTATCTTGGGACAATTTTAGTGGAACTTCCATCTCATCTGGAACTCGGGTCAGGGAGATGACTCCTGCTTTTGCTTTCAATGTGAAAAATACAGCTAACAATTCCAAAAATAAACTATTTCCAGTAAAAATTAGTTTTGAATATATAGTAAGTGCTTGAGACAAAACATGCATCATGATTCAATAATGATGAATTAACATGATATCAGTGTGTAACTAAGACTTAGTTTGTGATTAATTAATACACAAGTAATAGCATAATATTGTATTATTTGCACCCCATCAAGTAAAGTGTTACCCATTTTTTAATACATTTTAACATTTATAGCGAAGACTTTTTTTCCAACACACACTAACCACCAGATTCCCTCAACAGGGGCATCACAGTACCTTTCAAATACGGATTCAGAAAGAATCCAGTGGGTCCAGCTATAGTGAATGTGTCAATAAGGTTCAATAAGGCACTCACCACTGGACAGTCTCTTCATACTCTGAACTACTGGCCTCAGAGATGCAAGCATGCACTCCATACGGCAGCGAAGAAGAACCTGAATTTAGGCACAGTACAGAAAGTCAAAAGTTAAAGAATTTTGATAACCACACAGAAAGTATTTTCATTTTTGGCTTCTGACAGGTTTCAATAAAACATATTTTGTAACATCTCTGCCAGTACAGCAGCTTGTCTTAATGTTGTGTCCATTATGTTCCTATGTGAAACCTTTACACAAATATATTCTCTTTGAAATTCTCCTAGATATTTTGTTTCTTAATTGCCTTATAAAATAAATAGCCATGCTTATCATCCATCCATCCATTTTCTGTAGCCAGGCTTTTCAGACTGTATATAATTTACAATACTACAATTATATACATGTTGCCATTTTACCACTAAACACTACAGCATGCAGTCTAAAAAAGAATGTTTCTTCGGCTTCTTCACTCAGCACTTAGACTGGGAGAAATTTAAACATTTGTAGAAGGAAATTGGGGATTAAAGATTTATGAAGTAGCACCAGTAAGTAAAGCTACTGAAATAAGTTGTTAAATAGAGGTGTACCTTACGTGCTGCCTGCTGAAAAAGGCAACGACCTTTGTGTCTGGTTTCAAAGGAGCTCTTGTGGTAGACAGGGTACAGTGGAACACAGACAGGAAGCTATAATTCACAATGGCTCATGTTATCAAATAAATCAGCTGGAGGCATAGCAGAAAAGAAGCGAACAGGTACAAATTCAACTCCAGTTCACATTTGTTCTGCTCTGTTCTTTCTTCTGTTAAATTAGAAACAGCTATCAACAAAATGCTTGTATACAATGTCAAAATGCAACCTCTGCATGGAAGGATCACATGTATGTATCACAACAAAAAGTAGATTTCTCAAGAAAAAAAGTGGCACCTCGTCTTGACTTCGCTGAACACGTCCTGTAGATAGCCAAGGCTGGATCCTGACAAAGTCTTCCTCATGACCAGTTTCTCCCTTTTTCACCAATAAATGGACCAGTTTAATTAAAAAAAAAAAACTACTAAAAATGCATTATGTTAAATATCACATTGGAATGCTCATCAACCTAATAGGGGTGGAATTTTGCTATCACCCATAGTTTTTGAGGGATGTCATCTTTAGGCTATATTGATAATATATAATTCCCTTTTATGTTATGTATATTAATATTTAGTTCAGGAAAAATGGCTTTATTTCTATTTGTTGAATATTTGTAAGACTTTGCAAAAGGGTACAAAGTACCCTAAGCTTGGGCTTAGGATCCTGCTCCCTCTCTAATATGGAAAAATTGTATCAAAGCATGTGGAGTTCCAGAATGCCTCATAATTTCTGCTAGACCCTTAATGGGGTCTTCCTAGAAACTGTACACACACACATACGCTAAATATATATATAGCGTAAAGTTTAATTGCGTGTCTCTGAAAATCCTTGTGTGATCGTAAATTTAGATACTGAAATTCGGAATAAAATATTGTAAGATTCACCTATTTTGTTTCATGTGTCAAAAATAAAGTAAAAATTTGTTGACCAGTATGTGTTATCAGTATGTGCTAGCACTGTAATAGGTGAGTTTTCAAATCAACACAACGTAATGTTTTACGCTGACATATGCCCACACAATCAAGAAAGTTAAATATGGCCTTCAAGACATAAATGGGGCAGCACAGTATTTTACATGCTTTAAAACTGACTCTTGCCTTAAATTCCCGATTCACAATATTTCTTTCCTCCAAAATCTGCCTTTTGGTTTGTGGGGAAACAGGGTCCTTCCCACGGTGAACCTGCCTGAACAAATTCATATTTGGAAAACATTATTATGATGAAAGTTTTAAAGTGTTTTATTATGTAATTTGCTTTACTAGCATGCCAGCAATCATAATGTCGTTTAACTAAATAACTTTTTTTTTTTAATCTGAACAGCCTGCAGAATAGTGTAACAAATCTAACCATGCTAGATGATTAGCTTTCTCCTCCAGGACATCCTGATGAACTTTGTTTTCAAACGCAGCTTCTTTCACCTGTCTTCTTTGGGACCCCATCATGATTTGTGACATGGCTTAGACAAAATACAAAATACAAGTATTTAAAACTATAAGGATCCACAATTAACATTATTGCAGTATAGAATTCAAAGCATTTACCAAACATAGGAAAGGTTTCTAGTATACAAGATTGAGATCCTTTAAAATCCATCTTAATATGGCGATTAACCATATGGTCTCTGTCCTTTATTTTATTTGTGGTTAAATAGTAATTCAATTATGAATAGCTTAAGTTTTGGCAACAAAGTGGTTCAGTTGTATGGCTCTGTTGCCTCACATGTCCTGGTTTATGAGGCTAAATCCCAATCCTGCTCTATATGTGCACATTCTCTTCGTTTCATGGCTTTTGGATATTCCGTTTTTTTCCCACAGTCCAAAAACATGCAGTAAGGTTAAATGGCATCGATAAATTATTCATGGTGTGAGAATATGTGCATGTGTGTGTCCTTTGATGTACTGGCATCCAGTCAATTGTGTTCCCCTGTGTTTTGGCGTATGCTGCCTGGGATATGCTTCAAGCCCCCCTGTGAAGGATTAATAGATGGAACATAGATGGATAAATGAAATGTGGCACAAATGCTCCAAGACAATATCAAGTAAACACTACATATGTTGTGTACCCACATTTATAATATGTTATCAAAAATTTACAACACAAAGCATGCTTCAGGCTTGACCAGGAACACATGTGACCATTCATCCATTTCCTAAAACTGCATATCCAGTACAGTACACACAGGGGACAGTGCAGGGGATACTAGATGAGATGCCAGTCAGTTTATCACAGGGTAGCTTATTTCTGGACTGTTTGACCTGTGACCCATTAAAGAATTTGATATTGTGCAGATGTTCCTCACTTTACGATGGTTCGACGTTACAATGGTGTGATAGTGATGCACATTCACATAGTCAGCTTTGAATTTTGATCTCTGCCCAGGCTAGTGATATACCATATGATGGCACTGATACCGTGCGATGGTAGCATCCAGCATCCATTAAGCTACGCTTCCAGTCTCTGTAGCGTAACAATGTGTCATAGTGGT